AAAAAAGAATGGAAAGGGAATGGAAGGAGAGGAGAAGAGTGGAGAGAAGAAGAGAAGAAAGGGAAAGGGAAAAGGAAAGGAAAGGAAAGAGGAATTAAGGAAAGGGAGGGAGGAGAGGGAGGAATGGAAGGGGAAAGATGGAGGGGAGGAAAGGAAAGGATAGAAAAGAAAAAAGAATGGAAAGGGAAAGGGAATGGAAGGAGAGGAGAGGAGAGGAAAGGAAAGGAAAAAGAATGGAAAAAGAAAGGGAAAGGAAAGGAAGGGAAGCGAAGGGGAAGGAGGGAAAAGAAAAAAGAATGGAAAGGGAAGGGAAGGAGAGGAGAGGAGAGGAAACGAAAGGAAAAAGAATGGAAAAGGGAAAGGAAAGGAAAGGAAGGGAAGGGAAGGGGAAGGAGGGAAAAGAAAAAAGCATGGAAAGGGAAGTGGAGGGGAGGGGAAGAGAGGAGAGGAGAGGAAAGGAGGAAGAAAAGGGAGGGATCAAGGGGAGAGGGAGAAAGAGAAGAGAAGAAGGAAAAGAGAAGAACCAACAATAACATAGCATCAGATGCGCACCAGCCCAAAATTGCTCCTTTAAACATTCATTTATGTTTTCAGGGTCTCAGATTTTAAAATAACAATGGGTTTTAAAGGCTTTTAGGTAGCCTTGTGGGGGGTGGGGGTGTCAAATGGCTCTAATCTGTTTTTCCCTGAAGGTCCCCTCCTGGATTTACTGGTGTAGGAGGTTGTTGAGACGATAAAGTTTTGAAAAAGTTTGGAATAAAAAATCACCGAAAACGTGGATGGGGGGGAAAAAAAATGGTGAGAATTCCACGTGCCAGGCGGGTGCCCTTCCCTGCAAAGCGGGAAGAAAATTACTCTCCTTATTTATATTTCACATTTCTAAACCGCCCATCTTCCTCCAAGTTTTTCTGTTGGTTTAATGATTATTCCACCGAGTTATGTCTTACTAAGAAGAAAAAAAAAAACCAAATCTGCTGGGGTTGAACATAAGAGTTTTCTGTGTTCGGAGTTGGAGAGTTGAGTCTCGTCCCTCCAAATATCCTGTCTGTTTATGTTTTTGTGGATGTTTTTCCTTCTCTCCTTTTGATTTCACTCCCTGCCAAGGAATCGTTCATTTATTATTATTATTATTATTATTATTATTATTTAACAAAAACAGCTTTGCATTGTGTAATTTCCTTCTCCCCGGCTTAACTCCAACATGATGACAAGCAGAAATTAATGTTCAGGGATTCGGGAAGGGTGAGACGTAAACAGTCTAGCCTTGGGAAGACTAAGGTGGAACATGTGAGGATCTTGTGATCCTGTCTTGCTCAATTGATTGCTTCACAGAATCACAGAGTTGGAAGGGACCTTGGAGGTCATCTAGTCCAGCCCCCTTGCCCCGCTCAAGCAGGAGACCCTTCACCATTTCTGACCGATGGCAGTCCAGTCTCTTCTTGAAAGCTTCCAGGGATGAAGCTCCCACAACTTCCGAAGGCAACTTCTGTTCCATCGGTTGATTGTTTTCACTGTCAGGAAATTCCTCCTTATTTCCAGGGTGAATCTCTCCTTGTTCAGTTTCCATCCATGATTCCTTGTCTGGCCTTCAAAGGTGCTTTGGAAAATAGCTGGACCCCCTTCCTCCTCTCTGGGGCAGCCCCTCAAATATTGGAAGATGCTCTCCTGTCTCCCCTGGTCCTTCTCTTCACTGGACTAGCCATGTCTTCTGTCCATCCATGGTTCACTCAGATTTCTTTCTTCTTTCTTTCCTTCCCTCCCTCCCTTCTACCTTTCTTTCCTTCCCCCCTTCCTCCCTTCCTCTTTCTTTCTTTCTTTCTTTCCTTCTTTCTTTCCTTCCCTCCCTCCCTTCTACCCTTCCTTCCTTCCTTCCTTCCTTCCTTCCTTCCTTCCTTCCTTCCTTCCTTCCTTTCTCTTTCTTTCTTTCTTTCTTTCTTTCTTTCTTTCTTTCTTTCTTTCTTTCTTTCTTCTGCTTTGGAAAATAGCTTGACCCCCTTCCTCCTCTCTGGGGCAGCCCCTCAAATATTGGAAGATGCTCTCCTGTCTCCCCTGGTCCTTCTCTTCACTAGACCAGCCAGGCCCAGTTCCTGCAACCGTTCATCGTAGGTTTGAGCCTCCAGTCCCCTCATCATCCTTGTTGCTCTTCTCTGCATTCTTTCTAGAGTCTTCAAATCTATTTTTTATAGTGTGGTGACCATCAAAACTTGCCAGGACTGTCTGTATGTCATTTAGGATTTCAACCAGCCTTCTCCCTCTCTCACTGGTAATTCCCATTTTATCGTTTTTGTCCTCCCCTCCAGCAGTGAAAAACAAACGGGAAAAGATAAGATAACAATCATGTCCAGATCAGTAGCTTGCAAGATGTTGACCTTCCCGATGTTATTTAAGAAGACGTCAGATCTGGTTCAAAGGTTTCGTTGCGTGGGGAGTCAAAACAGCCTTTCCACCTCCAGCAATTTTATATTTCTGGGGGAAAAAAGGTTGGAAAACGCCCAAAATTGAGCAAAAACATTTGTGTGAAAGATTTCTTGTATAACATATACAAGTAGCCCTTGACTTACTACCCCAATGGAGCCCCACATTTTCTGTTGTTAAGTGAAGCATTGGTTAAGTGAGTTTTGCTCCATTTTACAACGGCTGTTAAGTGAATCACCTGGTTGTTAAGGGAAGTTGGCTGGGGAACTCTGGGAGATGAAGTCCGCAGGTCTCCAAGCTGCCACGATTGAGAACCTCTGTCGTAAAAACCACGTTTCCCTTTCGTTCTTCTTCCGATCTTCTGCATTGGGTGTGTTGACCCCCATCCCTTGGTGGTCCCTCATGATGGGCATGGACATCCTGTGGATCTATAGAGGGCCAGGGCTTGGAGAAAGGTGCCCTAGAAGGTATCCCCCCTTAGGGAAGGACCCCCTAAACTGAGATTCCCCCATGATGGTTTAGAAGATCCGTGCCATCAAAAGAAGGTTTGTGTGTCTGAAGTCAGAACGTTGGAGCAGTTGCTTAGGAACACACCAATTCTTCTAAGATTCAACATCCATGAAGCTCTCCCCCCCCCCCCCACTCTCATCCTTGACCTGCTCCCCCCCCAACAAAGCTTCTCTTGTGGGGTGAAGCCTTTCAACTGGTCATCCCTTGTCCTTCTGGGACCCCCCCGCCCCAGCTGAGGGGCGGCCATGACTTCCAACTCTTTGCTTGAAGTAAAGATCCTCTTTTGGTGAGATGAGAAGACCCTCTGGGTGAGGGAAGGGGTGTCTTGGGTTCCTGCTCCCCCTGGAAATACCATCTTATCCTTTTCCAGGAGAGACCACTGAAGGGGGTAGAGGAAAGAAAGGGTCACCCCCCCCCCAAAATCCTTCCATTAGAAGATTTAGGAGGAAGTTCAGGAGAGGCATAAATCCACAAAGCGTGGGAGATAGGTTGAGTTTGGATTTTCCTCCTCCTGGGAAGGAAGGTGGGGAGAGGTTTGTGTAGTTGTGTGTATGTGTCTTTGTGTCTGTGTGTAGATGAAGTCAGTAGATGAAGCTGCTTTTAGGGTGGCTCAAATTTGTTTTCCTGTCTTTTTTTCCTAATTCTGATTTTGAATAGTTGGTGGGAAGGTTGGAATGCTTTCAGATCTTTGTTCTTATCTTGAACTGGATTTTTTTTCTTGACTGTCTCCCTTCCTTCCTTCCTCCCTTCCCTCTCCTCTTCCTTTCCTCCCTATCTTTCACTCTATTCTTTCTTTCCTTCTTTCATACTTCCCTCTTCTCTTTCTTCTTCCCTTCCTCATCTTTCTCTCTATTCCTTCTTCCCTCCCTCCCTTTCTTCCCCTTCCCCTATTCCTTCCTTCCTTTCCCCCTTTCTTGATTCCTTGCTCTTTTCTTTCCTTCCATCCTCTCTTTTTTCCCCTTCGTCTTCCTCTTCTTTTTTTCTTCCTCCTTCCCTTCCTCCCCCCCCCTTCTTTCCTTCCTTCCCTCCCTCCATTACATCTAGCTGAACCTCTTTTCTCCCTCCCTCCCTCTTCCTTCCTTCCTTTCCTCCCTCCCTCCATTATATCTAGCTGTACCTTTTCTTCCTCCCTCTTCTTCCTTCCTTCCCTCCCTCCATTACATCTAGCTGAACCTTTTTTCTCTCTCCTTCCTTCCTTCCTTCCTTCCCTCCTTCCTTCCCTCCCTCACTCCATCTAGCTGTACCTTTTTGCTCCCTTCCTCCTCCGATATCCCTTCCTCCCTCCCTCCCTCCCTTCCCTCCATTACATCTAGCTGAACCTCTTTTCTCCCTCCCTCTTCTTCCTTCCTTCCTTCCTTCCTTCCTTCCTTCCTTCCTTCCTTCCACCCATCCATCATCTGGCACATTGATCTTCCTCCTTCTTTTTTCCTTCTTTACAGAGGTTCCTGAGGATCGAGAGCTCGGGTAAGTAAGCCCCTTTCCGTAGCGCCCCTCCTGCCTCTTGGACCTTCCATCCCTTCTCCCCCACCCTTCTTCCCCCCCTAAAATATTCCCAAATGCTTCTCTTCCGTTGGGGTGTCTAATTCCTTCAATCCCTCATGCCTTTTGGTTCTTCTTAATATTACACAAAATTAATATTCCTTCTTTTTAACCTAACCCTATAAGAACATATCCTCCTGTTCCTTCCGTAAAGCTATGGTGGACTTAAAAATATCATTCCTTTTCCTTTGGGTCGACATGTTTTGAATAATAATGATAATTAACACCAGCACTAAGTGGTTCAGATTTGAATTGTTGCCTTAGACTGAATCATAAGACTGTAGATTCTCCCCACACGTTATAATTCTTGTGTTCTAAATATGGATTTTTCTCAGTTCATGCAGATTAAGCAAGTCTTGGAGAAAAGATTCCCGAACAAACTGGACATTGTAAGTGAGTTGTGGTGGAGCCAATCCAGAAAGTGGGGCGTGTGTGTGGGGGGGAAAAATGGACTCGGTGTAAATCCGTCTGTGGTATTTTAACAGTCCCAAAACATTTCGTTCCTATCCCAAATCCTGACTTGGAAAATCTGAAGTAAACGTTTGCTTGCTTGCTACTTGCTTTCGGTATTTGAAAAGGATTTCAGTATTTGCGTAAGCTGCCCTAAATGAATTATTAGAATCAAATGGCTGTCCAGTTTCTTCTTAAAAACCTTCTTCTTTGGAAGGAAGGAAGGAAGGAAGGAAGGGAGGGAGGAAGGAAGGAAGGAAGGAAGGAAGGAAGGAAGGAAGGAAGGAAGGAAGGAGTTGGAAGGGACCTTGGAGGTCTTCTAGTCCAACCCCCGGCTCAAGCAGGCGATCTTATCCCACTTCAGTGGCTGTCCAGTTTCTTCTTAAAAACCTCCTGTGATGGAGCACCCACAAGAGCCTTGGTAGTACAGGGGTTTAAGGCACCCTGTTATTAAGCTGGTTATTAAAACCAGCTGCCTGCAATTACTGCAGGGTTCGAATCTCGCCAAGGCTCAAGGTTGACTCAGCCTTCCGTCCTTTCTAAGGTAGGTAAATTGAGGACCCAGTTTGTGGGGGCAATAAACTGACTTTGTATAAATATACAAAAGAATGAAGGCTATTGCTTAACGCATTGTAAGCCGCCCTGAGTCTTCGGAGAAGGGCGGCATATAAATCAAAATTAAAAAATAAAATAAAAAAATTTCTGGTGGCAAGCTGTTCCACTGGTGAATTATCCTCACTGTTAGGAAGTTTCTCCTTAATTCTATGTAATTCTATGTTGCTTCTCTCCAAAATTAATTTCCATCCATTGTTTCTTGTCTGGCCTTCTGGTGCTTTGGAAAATAAATTGACCCCTTCCTCTTGTGGGGCACCCCTTAAATATTGGAAGGCTGCTATCATGTCCGTCCGTCCCCCCAATCCTTTTTTTCTCTAGACTGGCCATGCCCAGTTCCTGCAACCGTTCTTCATATGTTTTAGTCTCCGGGCCTTTTAAAATCATCTTCTCTGCCCCTTTTTCCAAAAGTCTCAACTTACAACAAAGTTATAACGGTACGTATATATTTTTCCTCTCCAGACGGCGGAAATTGGTGAGAGTGGGACCTTTGAAGTGATTCTGCCAGAATCCGATATCGTTTTGCATTCCAAGAAGGTGAGAAGGGTTTTTTTTTCCACCCCGAGTTTGGAAAATGGGATTTTGTGGGTCAAAGCAGGTAACGTCATCAGTGCTAGAAGGGAGTGGGGTTTGTGGAGAGGAGAAGGAAGAATGTGGGTTCCTTGATGCTATCTGAGCTTGGTTGTTTTCTTCAGACATTTTATTACCCAACTAGGTAACGTCATCAGAGTTAGAAGGGAGGGGAGTTTGTGGAGTGGAGGAGGGAGGAGGAGGAGGAGGAGAAAGAGAAGGAGGAGGAAGAGGAAAAGGAGGAATAATATGAGTTCCTTGGTGCTTTCTGAGCTTGTTTTCTTGCAAACATCTCATTACCCAACAAGGTAACTGCATCAGTGCTGGAAGGGAGGGAGGGTTTGCAGAGAGGAGGAGGAATAACAGAACAATAGACTCGGAAGGGAACTTGGAGGTCTTGGTCAAACCCCCTGCTCAAGCAAAAAACCCGAGTTCATAACCCATGTAGGTCACACCATCCGTTCTTGAAAAAAAAAAAAATTGGGATTTGCTCTCTTTTTTTATATACACGTGTCTCCTAATCCAGGAACTTCCAAGAACACTCCCATCAACCCTGACAGATTGTCCCATCATGGGTATATACACCAAACTGGAATCTTTCCAAACTTTACAATCATGGTTTTCAGCGGGATATATATATATATATATATATATATTTGTTTTCTCAGGTTTTCGCGGGTGTTTGTATGTAGGTCTTTGGTTATTCGGGTCTTCTCCCACGTAAAATTGGAAGTGTCTTGGCGACGTTTCGACGAAGTCTCATTCGTCATCTTCAGGCTGGTGTTCTCGGCTTCGTGCTTCCAGGAGCAAATATATATATATATATATATATATATATATGATGGTTTGTTTAAGGAAGCTTGGCTGTTTGCCCCACCCTTCCTTCCCATACGGAGGCCTTGACATTCCCGACACAATTCTGGGACTGGCTGATCTCAGAAGTGTCCAGACTTGAGGTTGGAAGCGATCGGGGTGGGATTCAGCCGTTCGGATGCTAATTTTACTCTGGTTCGTCGAACCGGTAGTTGCAAGGACTGGCTGGCCCCGCCCACTGAGCCCCTCCCCTCCCAGGAGTCTCTACGTGGCCCGTTTTGGATGCCAGGTAAGTACAGGGCGTGGAAGCTCTGGGAGGGCGAAAAACGGGCCTCCCGGAAGTCTGGAAAAGGGCCCGTTTCCAGCCTCCGGAGCCCGGAGAGGGCCGTTTTCGTCCTCCTGGAGGCTCAAGAAAAGCCTCCGGAGCCTGGGGAGGGCGAAAAGGCCCCTCCCCCCGGTGCAGGAGGCTGAGTGGGCCACGCCCACCATGGCCACGCCCACACACCAACTGGGCAGAGAACCGGTTGCTAAAATGTTTGAATCCCACCCCTGGAAGCGATGAAGGGCGCGGACAATTTGGGGGAGGGGAAAAAAAAAGCTCCGCCTTTCCTTGTCCCCCCCCCAGGATGGCGCCGGCTACGTGGACACCGAGGAGAAGATAAAAGCCATCTGCGAAGGCATCAAGAAGCAGCTGAGGGCCAAGACTCCCAAGAGCAAAGTGGTGACCAAGAAATTCTTGAAGAAGCTAGAACAGGGCCATGCTAGCCAGAAACTGGAAGCGAAACCGGAAGCGAAGCCGCAAGCGAAGGCAGAAGCGAAACTGGAAGCCATTCCAGAACTGAAAACAGAAGTGGAGCCGGAAGTGAAAGAACCACCGCTGACGGATTTGACATCTTCTCCAGAGGTGGAGAAGAAAACAGAAGGACTCGCCTTGACCAAAACCACCAATGAGTTAGAGGCCACCACTCCCAGGTACGAAGGAGGAGGTGGGGCCAAGGACCACCAGGGGAGGGGCCTTTTCACCCTCCCCAGGCTCCGGAGGCTTTTCTTGAGCCTCCAGGAGGCCGAAAACGGCCTCCCCAGGCTCCGGAGGCTTTTCTTGAGCCTCCAGGAGGGCAAAAACAGCCTCCCCTGAGTTCCAGAGGCCCTCCGAAGGCCTTCCCCCCTCCCCCAAATTGAGGGGGGGAGGGGAGGGTTTGGAAATGAATGTCTTGTTCCTGCAGGACGTGAAAATCTCGGAGGGCAGATCATGACGGGGTCATCCGAAAGGAGGAAGACGCCTGGATGATTCCCCGATGTCGCTCTGTCTCCTAATTTCGCATTCTCGCTGCGGATGACGCACTGTGAAAGAAAACAGGAAAAAAAATCCTTTCGATTTAATCTCTCTTCCATGGGTTTTGATTTCATTTCTTTTGGGGGAGCAGGGAGGAGGAGGAGGAGGAATGCAATTAAGTCTCGTTTTGGTGCCTGGGATCAACCCCTTTGGAAAAGAAGAGAAATAAAAGGGAGGGAGGGGAAGGGAAAGGAAAGAAAAGGAAGGGAAGATAGAAGGGAAGGGGAAAAGGGGAGGGAGGGAAGGAAGGAAGGTTTGAGGGAGGGAGGGAGGGAAGGAAGAAACAAAGGAAGGTGAGAGGGAGGGAGGAAAGGAAGGAAGGTGAGAGGAAGGGAGGGAGAGATGGAGGGAGGAAGGAAGGTGAGAGGGAGGGAGGGAAGAAAGGAAGGTGAGAGGAAGGGAGGGAGGGAGGGAAGGAAAGGAGAGATGGAGGGAGGGAAGGAAGAAAGGAAGGGAGGGAGGGAGGCAGGGAAGGAAGGAAGGAAGGAAGGAAGGAAGGAAGGAAGGAAGGAAGGAAGGAAGGGAGAGTGAGAGTATTAGGCCAGCCCAACCAGTTAGACCAGACAGGATTCATGACCAGATGAGCGAAATCTACTTTATTGTGAATCTCGGTTAACACAATTGTGAGTCTGAAAGTACAACTCTCTCGCTAAGAAATTAGGGAAGATCCCTTCTGGGCTTTTTTCTCCCACCCATTATGCAGCTGAGGGCTCAGTTGCCTCTTATCTAACTCTTCCGTGAGCCCCATCTCTTCCCCACATACTGCTAAAACTTACAGAACTAAACTCAGTTAAAACATTGTTACCCACATAAATGCCAGCTTGGTGACTTCATCATTCATTCATTCATTCATTCATTCATTCATTCATTCATTCATTTCATTCATTTGTTCGTTCATTCAATCGTTTGTTCGTTCATTTGTTCATTCATTCATTCATTCGACTTCTTAACTGTTTATCTATGGTAGTAGACGGTTGTACACGATTCTCTTCTCTTCTCTTCTCTTCTCTTCTCTTCTCTTCTCTTCTCTTCTCTTCTCTTCTCTTCTCTTCTCTTCTCTTCTCTTCTCCTCTCCTCTCCTCTCCTCTCTCCCCTCCGCTCCCCTCCCCTCCCCTCCCCTCCCCTCCCCTCCCCTCTTTCATACACAGGTCTCAAACTCCAGCATCTCTGCAGGATTTGGACACAGCTGCCTCTTAAGGGGGCCCTGGCCGGACTCTTCCCGCCGTTCCTTATTTGGGCCCATCCCCAAGTTCGGTTCCACCGTGACGGCATGGATGCCATGTTCACAGAACACTTGCTTGACCCTCTGAATCACCGGCTCAAAAGACGCCACGTCGAGACAGACCACATGGGCCGTGGCCACCAAATGGCTGCAGCCGTCCAGCTGCCAGACCCGGAGCTCCCGCACGGCGGCCACCCCTTCCGTGGCGTGGAGGTGTCTCTCCAGGAGCCACAGATCCAGATCTTCCGGCATGGCTTGGAGGAGGACCAGGGCTGAGGCCCGCAAGGTAGGCCAGATCAAACCCAGGAAGGCCACGGCGACCAGCATAGCCAGCCCGGGATCCAAGTAGAGCAGCCAACAATCCACAGACAGCGGTGGCAGGACGTCAGACGTTCCCCAGGATTGACAGGGGTTCTTTGGGCAGGGATCGAGACACGTCGCGTCGTGTCCCAGGCATGGAGTCCACCAGAGGTGGATCGTGAGAGAATGCAGGAAAACCGCCACAGGTCCAAAACAAGCCACCATCCATCCGAGATAAAGAGTCCGCCACGGTCCTGCAGCCGACGCAGTATTTCCCTCCTTCTCTTTGACCAACCAAGGTTGACTGTTGGTTGACGATCCGTGGCCCAGAAGATCTATTTGAGGAAGAGAATCAAGATTGAAGCCAGCTTGGGAGAATTTCATGCAGGGCCAAGATGATAAAATCCTGAATTTAAGTCCCCGATCGCACACGTCCTGGGCCACGATCACCTCTCAGGCTGGTGAACGCGACAGGCCGTCCTCGACTTACAACTACAATTGATCCCAGCGTTTCTGTTGCTAAGTGAGATGGTTGTCGAGTGAGTTTTGCCCCGTTTTACGACCTTCCTTGACACGTGGCTTAAATTAAGCCACGCGGTTGCGTAACGAGTTGGGATTCCCCGCTGACTTCGCTTGTCGGAAGGTCACAAAAAGGGGATCATGCGACCATCACGAATGTGAGTCGCCTGCCAAGGATCTGAATTCGGATCCCCTGACCACGGGGACGCTGTTTACGACGATCCGTTTAGTGACCGTTCGGTGTTACAACGGCAGGACAAAAGGGAATTACGACCGTGCTTCTCACTGAACAACCGTCGCCCCACATGGGAAGAGTCACCGAACAGCCGTGTTCCTGCAGTGACTCCCTTAACAACGGTGGCCAGGAAGGTCGTAAAACGGGGTAAAACCAGGGATGAAATCCAGCAGGTTCTGGAGAACCGGTAGCGGAAATTTTGAGTAGTTCAGAAAACCGGCAAAAGCCACCTCAGGCTGGCCCCAGGAGTGGGGAGGGAATGGGAATTTTGTAATATCCTTCCCCCAGGAGTGGGGAGGGAATGAGGATTTTGTAATATCCTTCCCCCAGGAGTGGGGAGGGAATGGGGATTTTGCAGTATCCTTCCCCTGCCATGCCCACCAAGCCACGCCCACAGAACCAGTAGTAAAAAAAAATTGAATTTCACCACTGGGCAAAACTCACTTAGCACCACAAATTTTGGGGCTCAACTGTGCCTGTAAAATCTGGAATTAAATGCAATTTTTCCACTGAGCCAAAAAAGAATGACTCCTTCTACCGCCAATCCCCCCCCCAATTTAAAATTAAACTTTTAGTCTTCGCAGGGCATCTGTTAAGAGCATCACAATTTAGTATTTTTTTTAAAAAAAACATTAAAGACACATCTGGGCATACTTCGTCTCTTGCACACCGATGCCAACTTACCTTCCGTTTCCTGCTTTGCCGTTGGCACCGGCCTGTGTCTGCTACAGCAGGGACCGACGTCCATCTTAGCGGGCGCTTTCCAGGGCAAACCTTCCCTAGCCAGATGGATGGGGATGGCCAGCGCCCCCATGCCCATCAGCGCCAGCGGGTGCTGGGTAAGCTGGGGCTCTGCCAATCTCCGAAGACCCTCGGCCACCAGAGCCACGCACAACGCGCTGAGCAACACGCCGCTGACCAGAGTCCCGGCGACGGGGGCTCGCGACCACCCGAAGGTATTCTTCCAGCTGGCGTAAGTGCCTTCCGTGCCAAGCCGGGCGTCCATCACGCGGACCGTCAAGGCCAGGGCGCCTTCCAAGGTGTGGAAAGCACAGGTCTGCAGAAGAAGCGAGGCCGTCACGCGGCTACCCACCATCTCCGCCAGGAAGAGAGCGACCAACAGGTAGAGCTGACCCATCGGGAAGTCTGGGCTGCCCACCAGCCACGAAGGCAGGAAGGCGAGCGGCGTCCCCGATGCCTTTCTCAAGAGGGGTGCCATCTGCAAACTTCGGCCAGGCCAATTTCGTGCCCCGCCAGCCTAGCTCTTGTCTCTCCACAGCAATGCCAGGTTTTCAACCTTGATGCCCAGCCATTGAGTTCCTCCTGGGCCTTTCCTGCCCCCTTCTTATCAACGCCTGTGGGCCTCTTGGCTCTGCTGTGGGTCTCTCCCCCATCCCTCCCGGCGGCTGATTCCCAGGAGGATTTCATCGGCAGCTGTCGGGGGAGTTTGGCAGAAGCCGTGAGCCATGGCACGCCGCCTGGGCCTTCCAAAGAGGCCATTCTTTTCGATTTCCCCCTCTTTTTCTTGGACCCGTGCCCGGTCGTCCACCAGCTGCAGAAGGACAGCCAAGGTTATAAGTATGCATGGGAGTCTTGCTAGGAAAGGAACGGGGAGCTCCAACGCGATGGGGCGGGGGGGGGGGGCAGTTGCTAGTCGATTACGGCATCCAGTTTTTGGGTGTATAGCATCTACACATTTCAGGCGGTCGCCGAGACACCAACGTTAACAACAGGAAAAACAGAGCTGGAAGGGACCTTGGAAGTCATCCAGTCCAACCCCCTGCTTAGGCAGGAAACCCTACACCACTTCAGACAAAGGATTATCCAACATCTTCTTAAAAACTTCCAATGTTGGAGCATTTCACAACTTCTGGAGGCAAGTTGTTCCGCCGGTGAATTGTTCTCACTGTCAGGAAATTTTCTCCTTAGTTCCAGGTTGCTTCTCTCCTTGATTAGTTTCCATCCGTTGCTTCTTGTCTTCTGGTAAATAGGTGGATCTCCTCCCCCTTTGTGGCAGTTCCTTAGATACCGGATATCTAATATGTAATAAAACACATTATACTGAGGTTACCGGTGGCACAGTACTGGAAGAAGGACGATCCACCCGCCATTGAGGAATGGAATTGAAAGTTGTGCATCTGGCTGAGATGGCAAAAATTTCATCGTATCTTAAAGATCATTCGAATGAAAGATGCATAATAATAATAATAATAATAATATATAATAATAATAATAATAATAATAATAATAATAATAAAATAATAATAATAATTTTATTTCTATACGCCCTTCTCCCGAAGGACTCAGGGCGGTGTACAGCCTATTAAAAACACAGAACAAAACAACAATTAAAATTTAAAATCATTAAATAATTAGGCTCCAATTAAAATCCAGAAATTTAAAATACCCCAATTTAAAATCATTATGTTAATAGCCCGGCCTGGCGGAACAACAGAATGGAGAAGATGGATTGACGATATGCAAAAAAAATGTATCCGAACAAGAAGATTCATATAGCTTATGAATGAAATATTTTTAAGTAGTTTATGTTTATAGCTCTTGAGTTATAAGGAGTTAAAGATTTAGGGAGAATATGAAGGCAATAATTTGTTAGCATATCTTAGCTTTTATGTTTGTGAATGCTATACCCTGTGCTGTTCTGGAAGTCTAGGGAGGGGGGGGGGGGGGGGGAAAGGGGGGGAGGGGGAAGGGGTGGGGTGGGGGAAAATGTTTGTATTTCTTATAAAACTTTTTAATTCAAAAAAAAAAAC